ACTCCTTGGCAAAGTCAAGGATTTAATGGTGTTCTGATGCAGAACGTAGAATCGCAGAATCATTTAGTTTGGAATACACCTCTTAAGATCCCTGAGTCCAAGCATTCCCCCAGCTCAGAGTCCTGAGGTTTTGAGGCTACAATTCCCTGAGGAGTGTCTGTCTGTGCCCACAGAAGGAGAGGTTCTACGAGGGGCACTTCGTGCTGGCCACGCCATCGTGCAAGGAGCTGGCAGACCTGATGAAACAGTGCATGAACTACGACCCCCACCAGAGACCCTTCTTCAGGGCCATCATGAGGGACATCAACAAACTGGAGGAGCAAAGTAAGGCATGGGGGTAGGGATCATGGAATCCTGGAATGGTTTGGGTCGGGAGGGGCCTTAAGGATCATCTCCTTGCAACCCAAGGCTGATTGATTTGGTTAAACTGACATCTCTCTTCCCTGTTGGCTGTGCTGACAGGTGTGTTGTGTCCCTGCAACAGGGACTAACCATCTCTGTAAGATGTAGATGTAGTAAATACTCAGGGAAGCTGAGTAACTACTACAGGGTGGGAAGTACACCTGGAGAAAACTGGATCTGGAAGCAGACCCAGCAACCAACCCGCAAAGCGAGGGAGGATCAGCAAGGGATAGACTGGCCTGTAGGTACAGAGGAATTCCCCGTCAGAAAGCAGGACAGTTGTGACAGTGGGATAGGCACAGTAACAGCAGTAGACTGGGAGTGAGCAAGGATACCTTGGGGTGTTGGGACAGGAATCTGTCTGACCTGGGACCGATTTTTCTGTCCATTTTTCTTTTTTTCTGTCCAGATCTTTTCTGACCATGTTTTTCCACTCCTAGACCCTGACATTGTGTCAGAGAAGAAGCCTGTTACCGAGGTCGATCCCACGCTCTTTGAGAAACGGTTCTTGAAAAGAATCCGGGATTTGGGAGAGGTAAGAGGAATGTCCCACACAGAGCACAGACCGGTGGCGGGGTGGGGGGTATCCCCACAGCCATGTGCTGTGTCACAGCAGGGAGATGTGGATCCTGAACACCTAAAATAGTGCTTTAATGCTGCTGTCAGTGAACTGTGTTCCCAATAATGCTCTTTTCTCTCCCAATTAGGGCCACTTCGGCAAGGTTGAACTCTGCAGATACGACCCAGAAGGTGACAACACAGGGGAGCAAGTGGCAGTGAAATCCCTAAAGCCAGAGAGTGGAGGGAACCACATTGCTGACCTCAAGAAGGAAATAGAAATCCTGAGGAATCTCTATCACGACAACATTGTCAAGTACAAGGGCATCTGCACAGAAGATGGTAAATTGTGTAGAATATTAAAAGTATACACTGAAAGCATAAGGGTTTTCCTTTGAAAATGAAGCATTTTATAAATGTCCTGCCAGGAACAGTTTCTCCTGGATTGGTAGTGTGATGCGTATTGGGATTTAGGTACCAGTGCTGTGGGCTTGTACAAAAGCTGTTGGTATTCATGGCCTGAGAAGCGTCACATGTGTGCAAACTAAACATACTCTGGTTTTAGGAGGAAGTGGGATTAAACTCATCATGGAATTCCTTCCCTCTGGGAGCCTAAAGGAGTATCTCCCACGGAACAAGAACAAAATCAATCTCAAGCAGCTGCTCAGATACGCGGTTCAGATCTGCAAGGTGAGCTGGGACTGGAGCTGTTCGATCAGTTTAATATTTAATTTAACAGAGTGAGGAGGAATAGAGGTCAAGAACAAACACTCTCCTTTTCTGTCCCCAAGGACCTGAATCCTAAAGCAATCACCCCCCTGCTATGGGTGCTACTGGCACAAAGATCGGGGGGGGATAATGAGGACATTCCCTTGCTTAAAAGTTGCTTTGAAAAGTTGTTCCCACTGCAGAATTTGGAGGATTAGGAGGGAGGGCAGTGCTTGGAGTGTGAGTTGGCAAGAGGGAGGGAGCAAGGTGCAAGTCCAAAGGGAGGAAGAGATGTGAGTGCAGAGCACGGTCAGACCACGTGAAGCACGAAGTGCAGAAAAACAGGAATTAATTAAAATATTGGAGGACCAAGGATGACGGGATTTCTGTCTTCTCTCAGGGAATGGACTACTTGGGCTCCTGTCAGTACGTGCACCGTGACCTGGCAGCAAGAAATGTCCTTGTGGAAAGTGAGAACAGGGTGAAGATTGGGGACTTCGGGCTCACCAAGGCCATCGAGACCGACAAGGAGTATTACACGGTCAAGGACGACCGTGACAGCCCCGTGTTCTGGTACTGCCCCCAACCCTCCTGCCACAGCCACACTGGGCAGGGCAGGCACTTCTCTGCTCCTGTGCCCTCAGGCTTTGGCCATCCTCGAGAGTTTTCCTGTTTTTATAAGAGGCCCAAGTAAAGATACACATGAGAACATGGAAAAGGCAGCTGGTAGACTGTACTCTTGTGCCATTTATTTCTTCCTGCTCTTAATTTTCCCACTATTGTGGTTTTCCTTTAGTTTCACAGTGAGTTGTAATAACTGTACCTTATTTGCTGCTTTTTGCTGTTTACTTGGCATCCCACAATAACTTAGGTACAAGGACTCTGCAGACATGGAATGTGCCTCCAGAGCTGGCTTTAATAATGCTGTCCCTTGGATCCCCAGGTATGCCCCGGAGTGTTTGCTGCAGAGCAAGTTCTACATCGCCTCCGATGTCTGGTCCTTCGGGGTGACGCTCTATGAACTGCTCACCTACTGTGACTCCGAGTCCAGTCCCATGGCAGTAAGTGCTTGTGACAGAATGGCTGCTGAAATCCCGTAATTTTATTATTTTTGGGAAAAAAAGAGGTGGACTTACAGAATTTCAGACCAGCCTGGGTTGGGAGGGACCTTAAAGCTCATCATTCCCCCTTCCATGGGCAGGGATGCCTTCCAGTGGACTGATTTATCTTAGAAAAACTACCCTTGTGGTTCTTTCTTTGTGCTGGCTGAGGGATGCCCAGCTGACTCCTGCTCTTCCCACAGGAATTCCTGAAGATGATCGGCCCCACGCAGGGCCAGATGACGGTGGCACGGCTGGTGCGCGTCCTGCAGGATGACAAGCGTTTGCCACGACCACCCACCTGCCCAGAGGAGGTAAGGGATGGATATGGATGCTCCTGCAGCCAGAGCCATGTCCTTGGACAATGAATTAACACCAGAGGTCCATGGTTAACTAGGCCTGGCCATTCTGGTAGCAAAACCTTCAGCTGTGCTGTGAAAACGCATTTCCAAAGTTTGGAAGCATTATTTTAGGATGGGTTTTGATATTAACATTTCCAAGTTGGTGATATCCCTTCAGAGGGGTTAAGGACTTGCTGTAGTAACTGGATCCATGAAAATTCAGTTGGAATCCTTCTAATTTTTGCAATACAGCCTTCCTGGGTATGCAGCACACCTGTAGGTGAAGCTGTTAAGACCTGAACTTACAAAAACCCCCTCTGGTCTAGATAATTGCTGATCCTGACCCACCCCTGAGGTGTTTCTGTTCATAGGAGTGAGAATCTGCTCCTGTGTCTTTACTGGAAAACCCAAAGAGATGTTCCACTCCTTTAAAAATGTCCCTGTCCCTGTTCCAGGTGGACCAGCTGATGAGGAAGTGCTGGATATACAAACACGACGAGCGCACGACCTTCCACAACTTGATCCAAGGATTTGAAACAATTATGAGTAAAATGTAGTTAGTTTTTTTTATACTGTCAGTACTTAATGTGCATCAAAAATAGGTATGGCCAAGGCTCTTCATTTTTTTTTTAACTACTGTAATTTGTACTCTGACTGGGCCCATGTGGGGAAAGGATTCTTTTGCCAACAGTTTTCCTTTTGAATTTTAGTCGGATCAAATTAATTTAAAGGTCCGGGAGGAACAAGAGCTGCAGCTCCTTTGCTGCTTTTATTGCAGGGCAGTTTTATCCTGCTCTGATGATGGTTGTGCCACAATTGGAACTGCCCTGATTGATGTGATGGTGTGAGCTGAGAGTATGGGGACAAAACCCACTGCAGGTCTCAGTGCCAGCTCTCACATCTCAAACCTGAGCCAGTGCATGTAAGACGGCACAGTACAGCCATATAATAATTTCACAGAGTTTTGAGGCAGTTTTAAAGTATGCCTGACTAATATTCTTCATGTGCACTTACTTACTTAGATTTTAGTAACAAAAAAACCAACTCTGGCATAAAAACGCAAAGCTAAAATTCTCAGCTTGTCTTAACCCACCAGGTCACAGTTCTGAGCTCTTACATGTATTTAAAAAAAAAGGTGTTGTGTTCGAAAATACCAACCAAGACAGAGTGGAGGGGCGGGTAGAGTTGTGCATTTCAGTGAAGGTTTTGGATAGAGAGATTTCCCCTCCCCATTACACACCCTGCCCACTGAAGTTCATGACTCTGCTCCTCAGCTCGTGCCGTGGGTGAAGGACAGGAAGGGAAGGGATTAATGACACACTTGGGGATGGGAAAGCAACAAATCCGTGTGCAGAACCTGGGGGGTCATTGTCTAAAAGAGAAGAGGCCTGACCACCCAGGGAACAGCTGGGACACATATTCCTTAACTCCCCTTTGACTCCCAGCCCGTGTCCAGGTACCCAAGGAGAGCCCACGGGACCATTTCCCTCTGAGCAGCTCTTGGCTGTGACCCCTCAGGCTTCATCCAACAGTGGTTTAACTGGAACCTTCTGCTGACCCTAAATTTGGGCTATAATGTTTTCCTACCACAGTTTGAAAATGCTTTGGGGAGATACTCAGTTCTGGCAATAATAGGAAGATGTCTTTATATATATATATAAATATATACATATCAAATTGTAATTATGAGCTCCAATGAGGTCAGATTTATTTTTACAGTGTTACCTGTTGTTTCTGTATGTCACTTAGGAAGCTGAGTTAAATCTGTAAGCACTTTGTTACTCTTTATACAAACAAATTATTAAAGAATTTTTTTTTCTCCACATGCCTACCTTTTTAATCATAAATTAAACAGAGAAAGAGCTTTTCAAATAAAACTTCCATTGGAATGGTGGTCAGAACGTGTTTTGAAACCACCTTTCCCTACCTTACCTGACTAAAGTAGTCCAAGGCTGTTTCCCTCCCACAGAAAACCACTTTAAATATGTACCAACAATTTATTTTCATTGAAAAGTGTAACAAGTTGAGAAAGTTGCATATACAAACAGTTGGAACAAAATATTACAAGTTAATTTCTCAATACATACAGGCAGAATCCCAGAAAAGCTCCTGTTCTCTGTTTGTGCACAAAGGGTGGGCCAGTTCCACAGCCCAGCAGCTGAAGGAGGAGGGATTGGGATTTTTTTGTTTTTAAGCTTTGAAAATACTGATCCTGATCACATCCCAAAGCTTGAAAGGCAAAGTTTAAAACCTTTTTTTTATTTATTTAAAAAAAATCAGTATTGAAAAATGGCTTCAGTATTAACTAGGAAGGGTAAGGAAGGTTGTGGCCTCGGTGAACTCAGTCCAAATGGATTTGCTGCATGATTCCAAGGCAAAGGATTCCAAGGATTCCTTGGAATGAGGGATGGCTCCTTCTTTACCTGTCTCAACACCGACTGCAAAAGTAAGGATTGCTAATCTTCAACTATAAGGACTGACAGCAGAAAAGAACAATTCTTAATGAATAAGCTAAAAATACAAGAAGTCTTAAAAACACAAAATAAGGAAAAAAGGAAAATACACTCAATCTGGGAAACAGTGGCTGTGGGTGGCCCTGGAAGAGCAGGGACACACCTGGCTCAGCTGTCCCACACCTGGGGAAGGAGGAGGGGCTTCACCACACCCCCTGTGTTACAGGGGTACATCCACACCCTGGGAATCACTGCCTCCCAGGAAAAGCTGTGGATTCTCAGCCTAAAAGCAGATAAAGGTTACTCCACTGTCCAAGTGTCACCTATCCAGATCCCACTGAAAATTCCAAGGCAGCACAGTATAACATCTTCCTTTTACCAGCCATTTATTGAGAACATCACCGAGGCTCTGGGAGTACATTTGGTATCGCTCCGTTCCAGGACTGAGAGGAAATATTAAAAATGCCAAGGCTGTAAATGCAGGATTCTTAATCCTGGAAAAAGTCAGGTTGGAAAAAACCCACACGTTCTGAGTTAAAAAAATACAAAATAATTACTATCAAGACTTCCTCTTTTAAGTTCCTCAGCCTGAGGACTGGAGAAAGGATCAGCTTTCCTTCCTCAGGGATTTATTGCTTTCAGCTGGTGGAGCTGCCACAGCTCCCAAGTCACTGTGCTCTGGCCCTCAGCTGCTCTGGTGGGGCAGGTGACAAACCAACACCATCCCCTCTTCTCCCAAGGGAAAGTGAGACCACCAAGGACCAGCCACCCCTCACATACGTACCGTGTCCTCGGATGTGCCGTGACAGAGGGGGCTCCTCCTGGGCCACCACGACGACCCAGGGAGCAGAATGACGTGTGTGGAGTTAAGGCAGCAATAAATAGCAGAGGTCCAGGCCTGCCTTGCCCCCCCCAGGCAGGAGGGAGGGTTCCAGGCTCAATACACACGTTTTTTTTTGAGGGAGGACTCTGTGTAACGCACTGCGGATCCCGGAGCCGGGAATTCCACGGGGCCGGGCTCCGGGGAGGAAATGAGGTACGAGGAGCTGCGCTTCTCACTCCGGGCTGGAGCCACCTGAGGGCAAGAAGGAAACAAGTGACGTGAGCCACAGCAAACACTGTCAGTAAATAACACTCCAGGCTCGGGAATTACCGAGGACCAAGAGCTGGGAAGCGAGTCCCAAGGCCTGACTGCTTTGGCTTTAAGGTCCAGCTCCTGAGTCAGTGGTTGTGCCCTTTCCCTAAAAAAGCCACCACTCATAAATGCACTGATTCCCTGCTCCTGGGGGCTCTAAGGGGGTCTGGCACTGGCACATCCTGCCCAAACCCTTACCACACCCACCAGGAACTCTGTGTGATCCTGAGCAGGAATGCAGTGGGAAAGCTCTGCCTTGGCTTGTCGTGGGCCCGAAGTCCACTCGGTGGCAGCACAAGACAAATAAGACTCTGCAGCCGTTCTGCTCCATCTCCTCTCACCTTAGGGAACGGATTTGGGGGAGGAAGCTGGGATGCCTGCTGGGATCCCTGGGCTCCACTCAAAAGGGGAGGCACGACCTGCAAGCAGGTACTGTAGTCTGGGTAAGATCCACCTGTAGATTCCTAAATGCAGAATGGGATCCAGGATCAACCAGGAGTGGAAAGAAAACAGGCTTAATCATTCATTTTTACTTGCTATAGTGATGAGCACTCAGCAGGTATGGAAATACCTGAGTCCCACTAACAGGAGGTGCCATTCACAGCGGCCTGGGTGTGCAGTGAGCAAAATGTGGGATTTGGGGATAGTTTACTTTACAGAATTCCTTAAAAAAAGTGTCCTTCTCCTTGGTCACAGAAACCTCAGCTTGAGCAAGAAACAGTCCTTCAATACTTGGAAATCCAACACTGGGAATACCATTCTAGTGGGCTGGTTCTTGGTGGGAATATTTTAATACTCCTGAATTTACAGCTGACTCTGGATTGTAGGATTTTAGAGAGGATAATCTGGGTGTGAATCCCAGGGAGTGCAGGGCTGCCCTGCAGCAGGTGACCATGCAGCACCCCTCATCCCACGCTCTCCAGCCCCTCATTCCTGGGGTCCCCACAGCAGCAGCCACTCCCAGCACACAAAGCAGTGTCTAAAGCAGCCTCATAGCTCCTGGAGGAAACAGCCAGTGGAAACATGAAGAAAATAAAGGTATTTTTCTCACCTCAGAGGCTTCATTTTCAAACCCATCCACTCTGGCGTGGGTAGAGTGATGTGCCTGAGCATAATGATACCACTGCTGAACAGCCTCCTATAAAGGAGGAAAAATCCTCTCCCATGGCTGTCTACAATTCTTACAGCCTCAAAGCTCTCCGAGATGCATCGAAACAGATTTAATACAAGTGATAAAGCTCAAACATTTAAAACTATGATTAAGTGTTTAAAAGACACACAAGGCACCACTGCCCTGACAGTGATGCAGATACAGTGTAATTCCTGTTACATGGAAGGAGCAGAGAGTGCAACAGGGCTGGATGGTGACACCATCTGAGTCCTTCACGGTAGTCAGGGTAATACTGGTAACACAGTACAGCACTGCTGAGTTTTTTGGATAGTAGTTTACGGATTTGGGTTTAGAAACTACGTCCAGGAGACATCAAAATAAATTTAAAGCCAATAATCAGATTAAAACAAAATGTTAACAGAGTCACAGAATTACAGAATGGTTTGCGCTGGAAAGACCTTCACGACTGTCCAGTTCCAAGCCCCCTGCTTGGAGAGATGGGGAGAACACCTTCCATTATCCCAGGTCGCTCCAAGCCCCCTCCAACCTGGCCTTGGACACTCCCAGGGATGGGGCAGGCACAGCTTCTCTGGGCAACCTGTGCTGGGGCCTCCCCACCCTCACAGCCAAGAAGTTCTTCCCAATATCCCATCTAACCCTGCCCTCTGGCAGTGGGAAGCCATTATTCCCCCTTGTCCTGTCCCTCTCCAGCTCTCTCGGAGCCCCTTTAGGCCACCAGATCTGATCTGAGAGGCGGGTCTGGTCACCGGTGTCCCAGTGCCTGTGGAACTTGCTGTCAGTACTGCAACACTCCCCAGACTCCCCCCTTATGGCCACGCTCTGATCACCACAGGGGGCACATGGGAAGACACCCCATGCAGTGAAACCAGCTGGAGAGACTGCAAAAATTCCCCAGGCTATGCAGGAACTGCCTGGAGGCAGAACACTCCTCTCTGGGATCCAGCCAAAGCTCAAAAAGACTTAAAAACTTCTCAGAAAGGGGAAAACTTCAGTTTTGAAGACAGACAAAAGCCAAGGCAGAAGTCATAAGAAGTCATTTTGTAGTGACTTTTGTAAGAAGTCATTTTGTAGCCTGAGCCCAGGCTCTTAAGAAGCAATTTTCCAAGGGTTATGATTTCAGCAGGGAATGTACTTTGTGCTAAATCTATCCTGAGCACTGACAGAGATGAAGTGCCAGTGAAGAGGTTCAGTCTCAGGAGGAGGGTGGGTTGGGTGAGGGAGCCCAGGAGTGTTCATGATGCTGGGCAGAGCTGTCCAGCTGCACTCAGGGCTGGCACCAAGAGGTGCATCAGGAGCACACCGAGAAAACAATGAGCAGCTCTGCGAGGGATCTCAGGGATCTCTGCCAGAATTCCTGCTTGGCTGAGCTCCAAGGGACAAACCAGGCTGCAAAACACGTACCTGTGTGTACTCCCCAGGCTGCTGAGAGTAGCTGAAATAGTTCTCCATGGCGTGTTGCGATGCAGTTCCCTGAGACACGGCAGCATCCACCACGTTGTTTGGAAGGCCAGTCTGCTGCTGTGGATTGGAGGCTTTGCTGGCAATTGCTGCTGGGAACACAAAGAACACGCAGTTTGTACAAACACACGGGTTGTATAAACCACACAAATTAGGTTGTATTCTGGGATTAAGCCAGAAATTTGCCTTTTCACATTAGGCTGTGCTCCAAATTAATCAGTGCTACTCTGAAGTGAAAGGCTTCCACAAGTTTGCCTCTGAGAATTTACCCTTCCCAAATAAAACATTAACTATTGGGATACTGAAATTTTAAGACAGACTCCAAGATTCTCTTGAGGGTAAATTTTGTGCTCACTGGATTTACCAGCCAGAGTAAACACTTGCCACACTCTGGCTGTGGAAACTTGCAATTAAAGCCATGAAACGTTTGCTTACCTGGCAGGCACATCCCAGGCAACACACTTGCCAAATTCAAGTAGGGGTTGGTGCTCAGGCGAATTTCTTTTGGTGGTTCCCCAAGCAGTGAAGTCTGTTTTTTCAAGGTAGTCTGTGAAACAAGTGGACAGGGCACTTTGCATTATATTTTTATCAAATTTGTCAGAAATGAGATAAATGTCCCAGAAGGGTTTTGAAAAAAACACTTAGCCCTATGAAATAAAACATTCAAAATAAATCTTGGGGACGACAATCTGGACACACTGCCTGTGCTTTTTCCTTCCAAGTTATTTTTTAGCAAAGTTTCTCTTCAGAATGCAAGCTCCTAAAGGACATTACAGAACAAACAAACAACAGAAAACCTTTTACATGCAAGTAAGGGAATAATAATCATCATAACAACTCCAGATGCCGGGAGTGAGCATTAAAGACAGCCAAGACAAAATCAACTCTTTTCACTTGGAGACACAGGGAAATAAAGGACAAATGAGCCCTGGAGAGATGCTGTTGTCTGAAATCTGCCATTACAACACATCCCACTGATCAGTCCATTTGTAAGCCTGGACTTAAAAGGGGAAAATGTTTATGGGTGTAAATGAAGTGTCAGGACTGTCTCACATTTCCTTTGGACCAATGAAATGCTGAAATAAAACACTGATTTTCTATATGTATGCTCATACACCCTATGTTTTGTATCTGTACCTATGTAAAATTCCACTTCATTACAGTAAAAAATTATTTTTAAAATGAAAAGTGTATTTTCTGAAGAAGGAACAAACCTGTCAAAGCTGCCTAAAAGACACCAAAACTGAATATAATCTGAATTACAAATATATTTCTCCATAAATGTCAAAGTATTTACATATATTATAAAAAAATAAATTCTGTTAATAGTAGAAAAAAAAATTCTGAAATAACCAGACCAGTGTGGTTCAACTTGAATCCCATCCCATTATCCTCCCAGGGAATAAATATATAAAAAACCTGATACAGACTAAGAATATGTCAGCTGGGGCTAAGAAGGAAAGGATTAAAAGTGGAAAATTTACATACACACACGTAAATATATCTGTATTTCTCTACACATGTGCAAACACCCCCACACATACCAAGATTGCTCCTGATTAGCCACGAAATTCAACCACAAGTTCAGTTTTCAGCCTTTAAAAGAGACACTGCCCTCGAGACAAATTTCATCATCAAATACTATGAGGCAAACCCATGGAAAAAAAAACCCTCCAGCATTGTGAAGATTCCTTTGTTAAGCCACTTGGACCACCACAGAGCGTCATTGTTCTCTCCCTATTCTTCATAACTGAAATGACCTTAAGATGTCTCATGGATGATCCTGTGATCTGGGGAAGAACTGCACTAAGTTGCCATTAACACTTAAAATAAAGAGAAAACCCATATGCAAGAAAAAAAGAAAATATTTGTGCTCAGTCTTCCTTACCCCCAGATTTGTGTCAGTGCTTTTGAGCTGGTTCTGTTGTTTGGTGTGTCCAGCCCTCAGAGCTGCAGCAGGAAGGGTTGTCAGGGTCTGGGGATAAGGCTGTGATCCCGACACAACGGCTTCACCCAGGGAGGGTTTGTCCGGAGCATTATTTTGCCCTGGGATGGCTTGTCCAACAATGTGCTGATTCGGGAAGAATGGCAGCATGCCCATCCCTGCTGCTGCTGGAATTGGAGGCAGATTAGATGCTGCAGCCAACCATAAATGGAGAAACTCTGCTCTTACACGACATTTATCAGCACGTTTTGTTTGGGGGTTTTACCGAGCGATGGAAAACCGGCCACAGATCCATTTCCCAGCTGTCCCAGGACATGGACTGTGAGGGTAGTTTTTATTCTTTTACCATCCCAGAAGGAAACAACTCTATTTAATACAATAAACAGCTTTTCTAAACATTCACTATGATAACTTGGTGTTTCCCTTCACTTCCAAAGAAACTGGGAACAACATCCTAGAGGATCCCGTATTGGGATAGAGGGGGGAACCCCACCTCAATTGGCACTAATAAAAATTCTCTTAACTAAAGTGCTGGAAAGTATTCTCCAAAATTAAAATCTAGATATTCAGAAGAGGCCTTCCCCACTGGCAACCTCTTCCTTGCTCCTGGTTATGACCATTACTGAGATCACATCCAGGACTGCACAACTCAGGGCTCAGGGAGGAAACAAAAGAGATCACGGCATCCTGGAATGGTTTGGGTTGGAAGACACATTAAAGCCCATCCAGTCCCACCCCCTGCCATGGGCAGGGACACCTTCCACTAGCCCAGGTTGCTCCAAGCCCTGTCCAACCTGGCCTTGGACACTTTCAAGGATGAGGCAGCCACAGCTTCTCTGGGCAACCTGTGCCAGGGCCTCACCACCCTCACAGCCAACAATTCCTCCCCAGTATCCCATCTAACCCTGCCCTCTGGCAGTGGGAAGCCATTCCCCCTTGTCCTGTCCCTCCAGGCCCTTGTCCCAAGTCCCTCTCCAGCTCTCTTGGAGCCCCTTTAGGCACTGGAAGGGGCTCTAAGTCTCCCTGAAGCCTTCTCTTCTTCAGGTGAACACCCTCAGTATCACAACTGAGCTTTCCTCATGAAAATAAAGGGCATCAGTGGCACAGAAATTTGCATTTAAAACTCACATCTGTCACAGACTAGATGTTAAAACTCCATTACTTTTGCTACAGAGGGAGCCAGACAGATGTGTAAGTTCAAGCTGAGCATTTCTACTGATTTGGTATGAAACAAAATGTCACTTACACTTCAGAGCTTCTCCTCGGGTTCCCATTCCTGAGCTCACCGCTGGCATCATCCCTATTCCCAGCACTGTCTGGAGGAGCATTGTTGGAGGTTCTCCCAGCAAACCTGGTTTCTACAAGGAAGAATAAAAAACTATGTAAATGATAAAATAATCTGTCCACAGCTATTTCTTAAAACTTTCACATTCAGGTAATCTTTTCAGCTACACTAAACTGTTCCATTATATTGGATAACAGCCACAAAGAAGGAGTTGGGTTGGAAGGGACCTCAAGGATAATCAAGTTTCAACCCCCTCTCATGGGCAGGGACACTTGATGAAAAAATTACTCGTTTTAGCCGATCTGAGACTGTCTAAAGAGAGTCAAAGTTCCAGTGATGACCTTACACTGTTAGCCTGGATGTTTTCCATCTTCAGGAGCTGCTGCTGGGGCAGTGGCAGGTGGGCAGGGCTCTGCAGCAGCAGGTTGGATGTGTTCCCCAGAATTGAGCTCTGAGAAATGATTAAAACAGGAGTTAGACAACAGTCATGGAGGAGAGAACACTCTTGAAACATTTTCAGATGGTACTGCTTGAAGAAATTTAAGTTTTGAGTTAACACAGCAAAGGAAAATAACAATTCCCTCCACAGAACCAGTTTTCCTTGACTCATAGAAAGTTATTTCAAGTTGGTTTAAGCTCTCGACCACCCAGCCCTTTTTTTCACCTCCCAACCCACTGGAGGCTTTTACAGGCTCAAAGTATCTCCAGACACAGGCAGACCCCACTGCAGCCCCTGGGAAAGCCAGCAGGGAAGGCTCAGTGGGTCTGAAGCCCCCCCAGCCAGACTGGATGGACTGGAGGTACCTCCAGTGCCGGTAAGATGAGCCTGGAGGAGCTCAGGGAATTCTGAGCTCTGTGAAAAAGGCCTTCATTGTCTGGTAACATTTGCTCTGTGCCCTGCACTGCAATTCTAACCCACAACCTCCACCTTCACAGGCCTCTGCTGGGACTGGCAGTGACTTTCACCCCCTGCTTTAGAGCATCTTTACTTCCAAAGAGGAATATCCAGATATGTTTCTCCCCCTCCCTTTTTTACTGGCAACTCTCTACATGAAATCCTGCTCCAAAGCCATTAGAAAGCTTACAAATCACACTGCTTACAGATTGGCAACTGTATAAGATATTAATATTTTAAATTCAAAATATTCTGGGTCAGTTTCTGACCAGAACTGATCCACTTAATTAATAATTTTGTGGCATCACCTTCAGACTCTGCTACTGGTATATTCAGCATTATGTGCCATGACCAGCACAGTGGCTTAAAATAAACCTAAAAAGACAAAATGATGTTTGCTTTTTATTGAAGTTGTCTTTCTGGCAGCAGCTCCTGAGCACGATTTGCCAGGTAAAATATAGGTTGTTCTACAAACCTTTTTGTACAGTGGTGCAAGAATAGATTTATGAGGCACTGACTGTGTCAAACCAGGACAAGCTCAGCTTCCCTCCTTTGTTATTAAGTCTCCTACATAGGAAAGATCACCAAAACCAGGGAATGAAGGTGGAACCCCAAAAGAAAGCAGCTCCTGCAAAACACCTCAGCAGTTATTTTCAATCCTAGGTTGTGATTCTGTGTGGAAGGGTTAAACCCCTTGGGAAAACCCCTTAATATGGTCTTCTGGACTCAGAAATGTGCCTTTAAATAAAGAAGATGTGCCATATCTAGATTAGTTATACAGCTGTTATTTTAATTGTCTTAGTGAATTCCAGTAGGAATTATCCAGGGCTGCTCATTGTCTCCAGTGCCAGCGACTGTTCCTTCTAAACTTGGCTACATCGACAAAGAAAATGTATCAGTCCAACTGCAAAACTTTGAGAAACACAAGAGTGGAAAAGTCAGTTTGGTCAGAATCCTCAAAGGAAAGTCTCTGGGTTAACAAAGAGTTTAAAAACTGCTGGATGGCTGAGGAAAACACCACTGAGAAAGCTTAAAATGCATTATTTTGGTACATGATCATTTATAACTAAGGCAAATTAAATAAGTTGAAAGGCTACCTTGAGTTGAAAGATTACTGGATGAATAACCCTCAAATCCCCTCTGCTGAATTATTTTTATTAATTATTTTTTAAATGTCTTGGCGTAATCATCCTAAAATACTGTTCCTTCTTTACAAAACCTTGAATACAAAATACAAACCCAAGACATGCAGGAAGCTGAATCAGAGTGACTGGGGAAGCGCCTGTTCCTCTAGTTTAGGAAAACACTGAGAGACAATAAAACAGTGACCTGGTTCTCTGGCTTTACAGAACAGTCCAAAATAAGTCCACCTAAAACCAGAAAAATGTGCCTAATAGAAGAGACTGAGATAATCAAACCACTGACAATAAAATCCAGGCTAACAGAGCAGGTTTGGAGCTGATTAAATGACAGGAAGCTCCCGGGATGAGAATTAGACTTGTAAGTCTCTGTACAGAGAAAACACTGAGTTGTTTGGCTGCACAACCCCAGAGCCAAAAACCACTGGATCATCATCAATCCCACTGTTAACTGTGTAAAACAGGCCTGTCCCCAGCTGTGAGCAGCAAACACATTGCCTTCCAAGGAAGCACAGACTCTCCAAGGCTGAAGACAGAGCAGCAGTAACTAAACACACCAATTGAAAATGTCCTTTTAATAAAAAACTCCTGGAAAGATATTTTTAATATGCACAAAAGCAGCTCAGTTGATGGAGCAAAATTAAGAAGCATTTGTTCAAAAGTAATATACTCACCTACCAGCTTTTAGCAGAAAAACATAGAAAAGCTAGATATACTTAATATAAGGAATATCTCTGCATTTTAGTTTGGTCTTTTTAAGATCTGGAAGTCTGTGTTTGCCAAAAATACAGCAGAAATAACTAATGTTTGAGGAGATTCTAGTTTTTAAATGTGAACTTCTGAAACACCAGAAATGGTCAGTCAAAGCAACTGACTCCAGCTCCTCGCAGATATTCACAAAAATCCCTCCCATGAATAATAAATTTGAATTTTGGCTCCTGGTAGAGCCAGAGAAATCCCTGACAGAACCTCAGCTCAAGGCAGAGGCCAAGTGCATCCAGCAGGGAGGAGTTCTGGTGTGGGTGCATATTCCCATCTCCAATTTCCAGGGCAAACTCATCCCAAATATCCTTCACAGCACCTTTCAGAAATTCTGGTGTGCATCTGGAATTCCAGGCACTCTGAAAACACTTTAAACAGCTTGTAAGCTTGAGGAGGGTTATGACTAAGAAGCCACATCTGCAATTCACTATTTTTATGGCACATGTAGCACATTTTGGTCCCTGCAAGCTTTAAAATGAAGATAAACTTGTTGGTTTGAGTAAGACAGAACAATCAAGTCTCTACAGGAAGGATGTGTGAGCAGCTGCAAGAGAAGGGGATGTGCCAAACTCCTCCAGATCAAATGCAAAGAGGAGTTTTTGTCAGTAATGACAGGTTTTCTCTTCCTTTGCAGGTGTTAGTAAATCAGAAGCTCAGTTAAGACTAAATAACTCACCTGTGGATAATAAGCACAGCCTGCTCTTACATCCCCATCTCAACACACAGAGCTTTCCTTAGAGCTGTGATGAGAACACCTGAGTTTAGGTGTAAGTTCTTACAACTTGCAGAGGACTTTTCATGCTAAGATCTTCCCAAACACCTATTTTGATGACAGTTCTTTCATCACATACCTGATGAACTTTGTTCAGCTGCAAAAAAGGGGGGCCAACTGCTGAATTTATAAGATGAGGTAAAGCTGCAGATGCTCCAAGAACTGTTTCACAAACACACAAAAAAAATGTGCAGTATTTTACAAGTTAGGCAAGAAAAATCTTCGTAAGAGTTATTCCGTAATTTTAAATTTGGTTTCCATGACATTTCCCTGTGCACCAAAGGTCACTATAATAGAATCACAGACTCATTTAGGCTGGAAAAGCTTATGAAACCTTTCAATATCCCCCAGCTTTGATCTGCATTTGAGAGATCAAAGGTGCTCTCAGGTGCTCCTCCAGAGCTGAGTTTCCCTGGAAGATGCAGCAAGGCCTGAGCTCATTGCAGGGCCACAGCATTATCTGAAGTGCTCTGAAATCAGCATTAGCTGAAGTGTTCCTTCACTAAAATGGTCACTTCACACACCATTTCTGTGTATCTTCTGTCAGTAGATTGTGTCACACACTCTTAGCTGACCCCCACTTGACTCTCCTAATTACCTGGTTCCTGTTTCTAACACTTTCATCACTTGAAATGCCACTATATTGGGGTTTATGTGTTTATTCACACCCCTCTAATGAGAAGACAGAAATGGTTTTGGCTAATGCTGTTATGAAATGCTCTGCACAGCTATGGCAGCATCCAGGTGAATAAAGATTTACATTGGGAACAACAGGAGAAGAACTCAGGCTGCAAAATTCAATCTAGAATCAGATGTCAACTCACCATTCAACTCACCACTTCTAAACTCATTTCTGCTATAAACATTCAGAGGTCACAGATTTAATACAAAGACATTTGTAGGTAACACTAAATTCTACCCAAACACAAAGAGTGTAGCAAACCACCTCCTGCTTTTGCTTTCATAAAACGTGGAATTGTCTACTCAAACACACTGAAACAGTGTCTGTACAGGTTTTAAACAGAATTTCTACCTCTCTGCTGAAAGCCTTGTATCATTAAGAACAGGGTTTCTTTTTTGAATTCTGTTTTAAAACAACTCACCAGGTTTAACAGTGTGGCCACGCAACTGGGGCTGCAGCAGCATCTGCAACATTGCTGGATTATTAAAACTCTTCATGATCTGCACTGGATTTGGCTCTGGGAGCAAGCCTTTCCTATTGTTCCTCATCTCCAATGAAGAGAGATACAAAAATGTTAGAAGCAGGAGAAAACAAAGAACACATGTAAATCCCTCAAACTTGTGTGATGTCAATTTACACATTTCATTTGACGCAGAAAAAAACCACTTCCTTCCCCGTTTCCTGCTCTTTTTCCTTCCAATGAAACACTTAACAAATTATTTCAAGAAAGCTTCAAGCATATTATTTCTCCTGAGATACTTTTTTTGTTCCTTAAACCAAGCTGGAGTTATCAATAAAGGAGAGTAAGAAAGGCACTGCTGGCATGAACATCACATACTGACTTACAGCAGACTGCTCGTCTCTTCATGGTTTAGACCTGGTTTAGACCTGGCTGAAGTGATGAAACTGTTCTCCCCCTACATTTAATACACCTCCATGTAAAATTTATCACACCCAATTCTCTAGGAAATAATTTGATAAGACATGTGGGTGTAAAAAGCTTTCTTCTATACTGAGCATGAAATTAAACCATTTCTTCTCCTACCTTGAAATTTATCTTCAAACTGACAAATTCTTCCTCTCTGTTTTAAGCCAAGTTGTAGCTTGTCAAATGACTGCACTTCCAGTTAGTTTTATTTTGAACTGGAGTGACTTCTCTTGCAGAAAATTAAATTTACTAAAATCTCAGAGATATGTAGGTGTGGCTTTGTGATATCTTACAGCCATATTTTGTCCTTCTTCCTGGCACTGTGTCCATGCTTTGCCCTGGAAGGAGCCTGAACTGGGCTGACTATACAGAATTATGGAATCGTGGAATGGTTTGGGGTACGAGGGACCTTAAAAGGTCATCTCATTCTACTCCTTTGCCATGGGCAGGGACACCTTCCACTAGACCAGGTTGCTCCAAGCAACTCAAAATGTTGACACTTCCAAAAGCTTGGCTCCTTTTCCCAAAGGAAAGCAGCTGAATCCCTGTGCCCCAATTCAGGCGTGTCCAACTCATCCCGAGGAGAGGTGTGCAGGAATCTCACCATCCTCTGTGCTGCTATAAGTGCTGCCAAGGTGCTCCTTCCCGCCGCTCCGGGGGCACAGTAGGACACGTGGACTCTCCTCCCTTTGAGGGTCATTCCATCGGTGAGCTCCCGGACCTTCTCCGCCTGCTCCGCGCTCTCGTACTCCACCACGGCGAAGTCCCCGGTGCCACCGTCCTCATCCTGGGCAAACTGCAACAACAGAGCAAAATGGGCGATTCCTGGGACTGCCCTGCAGCATTCCCACTTCTCCCTTCCAAAACCTTTCCCAGCTGACACTCAAGGTCAATGCCCACCCAAACCAGGATGTTTCTGTCTCAAATGTGCTATTAGTAAGTTGAATTCCATGTTTTCATAGGACATCTGGCATTCATGTTTATCTGCTTCAATTCCCACCTCCGTTCCAACCTAAATAGCACAGTCTTAAGCTGTGCCAGGGGAGATTTAGGTTGGACATTAGGAAGAAATTCTTTACAGAGAGAGTGAGCAGACACTGGAAGGGGCTGCCCAGGGAGGTGCTGGAGTCACTGTCCCTGCAGGTGTTTAAGAAGAGGCTGGATGTGGCACTCAGTGCCATGGTCTCGTTCACAAAGTGGTGTCAGGTCAAAGGCTGGACTTGATGATCTCAGAGGTCTTTTCCAACCTAGTTGATTCTGTGATCTCACGGGGAACCTCAGCTAGGAAATGTATTTAACACATACACAGAGAACAAAGGAGGAACGAGAAGCAAACTGTAAACACAGCTGGATGCTGCACCAATTTTTATTTTGCAGGGTAAGAATTATAAACTCATTATTCTTCAGTTTTGAAGCCTGCAATAATCAAAATGTCATTCATCAGGCTCCATGGCAGCTGCTGAAACATGCAACAATGCAAATTCCACCAGTATCTGGTGCCTTTTAGGAGAATATGAAGTCTGTGGTTGTGCCTAATGCCAAGAGAAGATGCCAGACTGATCAATCAAGCAGACTGGAAACAGGCTTACGTGTCACACAGCGCTCTGGCCTTTGTTTGCAGAGTTTTATAGTAGAATGAGCAGATTTAAATCCAACAAAAAAAGAGGGTGACAAGGGAGGGATGAAGCTTAGGCCAAAATCTCCAGTCCCAAAATAAATAGAAATGATACCCTGATACCAGCTCCGATGGGGAAGAGAGGAAATCTCCCCTAGATTTCACTGGATGAAAACAACCTGTTCCCAGTTATGAAGCCCTACAAAACTTACCCTAAGTGTTGAAATTTAAATGTTAAAGCTTTTGAAGAAAAAGAGGGTGGTCAGATGTTTAATGGCACTGTTAAAGCCAGAGCTCTGAGGAACACACATATTGATACATAAATACACACACAGATGTGTAGATGCTATATGTGTGTGTGTCTATATTTTATATTTTACTTTGACATCAGTTTAGGTGCACTGGCAAAGACCCAAGGTACTTGTGAAACATATATATTTTACTTTCAGTTAAACTGAATCATGGTTAAAAACTCCCTCAACATGTGGCACTGCAGCTACCAATATTCTTGCAAAGCATTCAGGAATTTTTAAACTTTCTAAGCAAACAAGACTGAAGAAAAAACCCTCTGCCCCTATCAGGTAACAGTGGAGACCTTGAAAGGTTTTCTGGTCCATTTTGTTGAAGCAAAGGACAAAACACTTTCCTGTAAGTCTTAGGAAAAGCCATTTTTCCTAATATCCATGTGTAAGTATCTGGCTTCAGCTCTTCCTGACTGAACATTTCTATTGTCAACGGAGGAAAAATGAGAATGATTTAGAAATGAACGGTAACTGTGGAATAAGATTAAATAAACCAGAGTTTATGAAATAAAATGAATAAAATTAAATAAGCCAGAGTTTATTTTGTGAGGTCAGCTAAATATTTTAGGTAAGAGATTGTATTTACATGATAAAATACTGATCAGAGTTACCAGCAGAACTAAGCCATGAAAACAGCACAAGAGGTATGTTGAAGAGTTTTCCAGACAAAACCACTTCTCCCAGTCATTTTCTATGGAAATTCCCTCCCCACCAAGTTTTCTGCTGCTCTGTCCTCTCCTGATTTTCCCCTTATATCTCTGTCCTTCATGTTACATCCCCCTCCTTGCTTTTTCCACACTTTCTTGAGTCTTCCTCCTCCTCTTTTCTTTGTCCTTAATTTTTGGGTCACCTCACTCATAACTAACTAGCACTGCTGTAGTAAGAATTCATCCACCCTCTTCCCTTTTGCATCTATCAAATCTGAACTATTGTTTACCTTCCTCCTCCCTCCTGTATTTTACACAAATATGTACTTGGTGCCATTTATTGATGCAGACACAAACTGACTCTCCTCACCTACTCCAGGTGTGACCCAAGCATTACTATGAAGGTAAAAATCAATTTTTAAGTGCCTCTAATGCCCAGTAGAATCCTGTCAGAGAAGCCTGGTATTCTCAGAAGTTCCAGATTTTTAAAAGGATGTTGGAAATTTGTTGGAGGAGCTGATAACAGATTATCTGACAGCTGGGAAAAAAGCCCTGAAGTAAAAGACTTAAAGAGATCAATCTGTTTGGCTAATTAAAGGAAGATTGAGCAAGAGACTTGATGGCAGCATTTAATACCTTCTTACAGGAAGAAAATAACAGGGAGTAAAAGCTCCTCAATTTAGTTATCAGTGAGGTGAAGCTGAAGCCAGATACATCCAACTGAGAAAAGAGACATGGGTTCAAAATAGCACAGGATGGGCAGCTTCTGGGAAGAGTCACCTCCAATTTATTGATCTCCTGGTATATTTGGATCAAGCAAGTCCAAGGATTTACTCTGGCCAACTACAAATTACTGGGGCTTGCAAAGAGCACTAAGGAGGATGTGGTGGCCTGCAGGTGGTCTGGCCAGACAGCCTGATGGTCCTTCTGCTCTCAGACTGGGAATTTCTGGGTTCTTATCCCTTAATTCCTGAGCAGCCTCCCAATCCCTGAGCAGCCTTCCAAGAGACTTAAGGGAATAAAAACAAAAAACAACCCAGCAATGGAAATCATAACTGTGTAACTACAAGGAAAGCTTTCTTTCCACTACCTGTTTCTGGTACTTCTGCACCACAACATTTATTTGTGGTCTTGTATCTCACAAGCCATGAGGATAAGAAGGAAATATTTACACTACGAAGGCCTGGAAGGATCTACCTCTTCTGTACCTGCAAACTTTCCTAAAGATGTACCATCCCTGGCAAGAACAGCACTATGAGATGCCAAGTCTGCCTCCTCCTCAGACAGGGAAAACACAGGTTAAATATTTGCAGAGTTTTTTTAATACATTAATGAAATCCACATATATATATGTATATTTAATCAGGTAAACTATTGCACTTGTGGTATTCATACACTCTGGCTTTAAAAAGCAATAAAACCATCACTTTAAGATCTCTCAGAAATAAAATTATTTTCAATAAATTTCATGAGGAAGGAATGTCTTACTAATATTTTACTGGCACTTCATGGCAGTGGTGTCCTGCAGAATTCCCAAATATGCTTCCCTGCAAACCCATCCCAGTAAGGCATTTGTACCACATCTCCCATTGCAGTGCAGATGCACAACCATTCACTAGTTATATCAACAACAGAAATCAAAGACAGCGAGAGTGAAACCCTGATTTTGCTTAAGATAGAAACCCAACACACCTGGCAGAACACAGGTTTGTACTTCAGGGAGAAAGCTTGGATCAGTTCTTTCGAATCAGCACAGTCTTTTTGTAATTTATCTACACAAAGGCACTTGGAGTGAATAAGGTTTGTGGTCAGCTGGTTCACATCCATCCACTGTGCAAACAGAGTGCTCTCCTCTAACTGCTTCCCCAGAAGTTCCAGCCTGGCCTTTGCAGCAGAGTCCTTCTTCATGTATTCCACAAAGCCATAGCCCTTGGAATGACCAGTGGCCTCGCTGTACACCAAGAAACACCTCTCCACGTTGCCATAGGCACGCACAAGTTCTTCAAACTCTTCCAAGGTGAATGAAACGGGCAAATTCGTGATGCACAGCAAGGCATCTGTGGGTTGGAGCTGCACAGATATCTCTTTTCCACGCAGGGAATACTGGTGGAATTTCCGAATGGCGCTCTGAGCCTGCTCTCCATTCAACAGAGTAACGAATGCTGCAAGAGACCAACACAGGTTACACCTCCCACAGCTTCAGAGGCACTGACTACATCCCTCCCTCCCCCTGAAAGCCCAAAAAGGAATAAGAGTTTGAGATTTACCCCAAAGATGTAATAGATAAATATATATTACAGTATATCTGTCTAAAGGCTGGAACTATCAACTGAACGCCACGAGCAGTGAACTCAAAAAGTGGCTACAGAAACACAAACACCACTATGTGTAACCCAACAAATTTTATATTTGGGGAACTAAATTAAATATTCTACTAATAGTCTATTATTTACTACTCTACTATTGAACTGTTATTTGCTATTATTGACTAAATTAAATATTCTACTATTAAATATTCTACTGAATAGACATTCAACACATTACAGATACTACTCAGTATCTTTGCTGACAACGTTCTCCAGTTCTCACTTTAGGGTTAACAGAGCCTTTTTGGGTTTTCAGCCCATAAAACATTTCACACAATCACAGACTGGATGAGGTTGGCAGGACCTCCTGAGGTTATTTTGTCCAACCCCTTCCTCAGGATCACCCACCAAAAGACCATGTCCCGATGGCTTCTTGGTATCTCAAAGGATGGAGACTCCACCACCTCTCTGGGCAGCCTGGTGACCCTCACAGGGAAAAGGTGTTTTCTGACATGAGCAAATTGCAAAAGCACCTGGGTATGTTTTCCCCTCAGGCACACGTGGTTTGTCCTAAGAGAAGCCTCAGGATCAGTTTTCCAAAGGAATTCAGACAGTTGGCATTAGTTTTGTCCCAAAGAGACACTCACTAAGAGAGACCACAGAGAGCCAACCCACTTCTGGCTAACATCACATTTCCAACTTTCCGTGGGCTTCAGTGAAAGGTGACAAACTGAACCACCAAAAGAGGCCCTGAGGGACAAGGTGTCCAACTGTGTGACAGCAGACAAGCTGATGACTTCATACACTGCAGATGATGTTCCTCACAGAATTTAAGCATCTATCGCTGGAAGTTTTTAAGTTCTTACCTGTCCTTTTATTTCTGTCCACGTAACAATACTTGATTTCATAATCTTTAAACAAGTCGTGGATTTCCTGCAAGAGAAAAGTACAAGTGACATCAGGTAAATAAGTCACCAGACCAAACAAGTGTATAAATTCATCTGAATTTCAAACAAAACCAGAAACTTTCCCAACAAATACAAAATTTCACCATAGAAACACTATCAAATATTTATTTTTAGAAGAGCTGGTTACACTACTGCAGCAATGTTTTTATCTCCCACAAAAAACTGGCTTGCTGAATTTGATTAATTTACTTTTCACTCTGTGAGGTCACATAAACACAAAAGGGCGTCCTGTCAACTGTCTTTTGCTAAAGACAAATAACATCACAGTTCATTAAATAGCAAAACCCCCTCGGTTTCTCTGAAGTACGACTGGCATAGCTAAAATACCACACAGACAAGAAATACCGGCAGCATCACATCACACAGTTTACTGAGGGTCGGCAACGCTGGCCCAAAATCCAACAGTTGCTTTAGTTTCCTGTGACTGCTCAGGTTCACTTCAACAGATTTTCACTCTTTTAATAATAGATATTCTTTCACCCAGCAGATAATTGTGCCCAGAATACCCCCTGGAAAGTATCCTCTATCAGTTACTGTGCAGATGCTCAATGGAGAATCGATCCCAAGAGTGTTATTTGCTCCCACTAATTAATGGGGAGAGAGGAGTGGGAGGGATGGGTAAAGCAAGTGTAAGATGTGTGTACCAGCTTGCTACAGCCATTCCCAACAAAACCAAGGTGCACATGCCCTACAAAACCCACAAATGATCATCAGTTCAGTGGTGAGAAAGCAGAGAAGAACATTCATCACCCTCAAGGACAAACCATGAGCAGTAACCTGGAGACACATATATATTTTTAGTTTGATAAATCCCACACACAATAGCAAAAGACCATTTGAGGAAGCAAAACCAGCTTTGTCTGAAAGTTTATTTGCAGCCAGTTTCCAGCAGCCAGGTTGGTAATTCAATATATGGAGCCTAAAGGTTAATTGGGTTCTCTGTGACGGGTATCAGGTGCACACCTTTTAGTCAAGCGAGCACCTATCTCTGGTTTCACTAGTTAACAGCTGTCAAATACTGCATTAATAAAACATGGCAGCACTTCTCCAGCTACCAGAACTCCTCTAATCAGGTGTGATAAAGATGTGGTTTCTGAAAAGCTAAATATGCCAAAGATTCAAGCCAGGTAGGGGATTTGACTGTGGACATCTCCCTTAAAGAGAATTAGATGGTTCATTCTCAGTCACGAAAAACTACGAAGACACTTTCTGCACAGTTTTGTGCAGCTCAGCTGTACTGTGGCACTGAAGACTCAAAAAAAGCCATTTCTGTCCTAGTTCTAAGAAGAGGGACGTGTTTGCCTTTTGCATTTCCTGTATTATTTTACAAGAGTAACACTGATAGTCTTTTATGATGATTAGGTAGCAGAAAACACTATTTCAAACAGCTCCGAACACTGTTTTGAAAGTCATCTGTGAATCAGATGATTCCACGTGATTTCCCAGGAACTGCCTGAAACTTTGAGAGGAAGAACAGTCTGTATTGAACATTTCTTTGGGGATAATTATGAGGTTTCATGTAAAAAATGATGAGAAGATAAGGAAGATTTAAAATGAAACCTAAGTGAATACATTTCAGTAAAGATTTGAACAGCATTTCCCACAGGTGCTCACAAACACTGCCCGGTTTGTGCAAAGGGCTCTCCCAGGAAGGTGCTTGTTCTTGTGCTTTCCTGGGCCCTTGGCAGGGCTCAGACCTTCACCTGTGGAACTGGGTTTGTGCAGTGCTTCAGTGAAAGCATTTTTCACATAAACACCGTTTGTGACTATTTACAGAAGTAAAACACATCGTTGCCAACTCTTAGGCAAACGTGTATTCCTTAAATTAAACAGATGTAAATATCTGCGTTAGACTGAGGTCCTTCTACTTACTGAGCCTTTTGAACTCAGGCACTTCTGTAAACTTAACCTCCAACATCTCCCAACACTCAGGTTTGGTAGATGTTGTTCTCGGGTCCCGTTCCCCACAGCTCAGAGTACCGTCAGGGAAAGGAACAGGAGCACTTCACCCTACTCCCATCCAGGTTCAGTACTCAACACGCTTGATTCCTCTGATCCAAACTTGGGCCAGGAGGGAATGTTTACTCTGGGAGGAGAAAAGGGTCATCCAAGTCAGGTGTACTCTCTGGTGCGACCCTATTAACTTGCAAGGAATGTAAGCGCAGGGCTGTTTCCCTGAGAACAGCACAAACAAACAGCCGCGGTTCCCCGTTCCCCACCTCCCGGCAGCTCCTGGCTTCCACTCCGGGGAAGCTGGCTCTGCACCCCCAGGAAACAACAGGGAGCACTTGCCTTGCCTTAACTCCTGAGCTTTAGGAAAGCAGGAGCGACAGACCCAGTGGTGGTACCACGGGTGAGCAGTGACCACCATCCCCAGTGCCACCACCTTGTCCCTGCTCGCAGCATCCACATCCGAACCTTCTGTTTGCAAAACTGCTTTTCCTAAAGGACTTTTTTCCTCTTCAGCAAATGAATGAATCTAATAATCTACAAAAATTGACTGATAACTGCCACAATAATACTGATTTAACTGCATCTTATTAAGTCTAATCAAATCAGCAACATCCACCAACATGTTGGGCTGAAGGCTGTGATGGGCTGAAGGCCCAGCTGCCCTGGGTGTCACACACTGGACATATATATATATTATAAATAATATATATAATATATAATAATTTGACAGCAAAAATGTTAAGCTATCTGGCAGATATACTGCAATCACAGATCCTGTGGAGTTTCTACAACAAACAAGGCCAGGTTGGACGGGGCTTGGAGCAACCTGGGATAGTGGAAGATGTTCCTGCCCATGGCAGGGGGTGGAATGAGATGGGTTTTAAGGTTTCTCCCAACCCAAACCAGCCTGGGATTCTGTGATCTTCGAGCAGAAATACAACCAAAAATGCTTAACTACTATACAGCCCCTAAAACTTTATAGTTGTTAAAAGAAAATAATCTTATCATGAGCAAAAATTAAAATCGTAACTAGAAAATATTCAGTTCATACATTAAAATTAGCAGAAAAAGCAAAGCCAAATATATTAAAGGGAGCTTAAGAGAAATTACTAGACAATATAAGATGATTATATTTTAAAAAATGAATTATTTACTACTATAAATGTGATCTTGAAACACTTCAGTTCTTGGCCTGTCCTGTCTTGTCTTGGATAGAAAAACTGGCAACCTGAGTTTTCACCACATACTATCAATCTGAAACTTTCATCTCTGAAATGGAAAGAATTCCTTCTTTAGAGAGGATCTTTGTGCTTTAGGACCTGCTTTGTTTTAGACACAAATGAGAAAGGGCACATGTTCCTGTGAATGATTCCCTATTTATCAAATTAGTAAAGCTCAGTGTATTATTTCTAATAAAACCAGCTTTTCCTACCCAGGATCTCACAGTGCAAGAGGAAAATATTCCAGAAATTCTCAAGTCTTCACCTGGAACAATAAACTATTATACAAAGCCTACAGCACCCTAAAGCCAAGCATTTTTCTCTCTCTAGATGTAAAACTAGATGTAATACTAAATGTAATAATTGTGTTATTCTGGCAACAAAATATTTAACAATTCTAAGGGGGCCTGGCCAGATTTGTGCAGTGAACTTCAGGGAAGTTTCCAATATAAACACTGGACAAGCCTGGTCTATAACTTGGCTCTCACTGAGTAGCTGAAGGCCTAAACTTCACACGCATATTCTTGAAATGGGAATCAATTAAGTTTTAAGTAGCTATTTGGCCAACCTAGAAGTTTTAAATCATCTCAGAACTGAAAAAGACTTTGTTTTCATTTGTGCAGGCAGGGCAGGAAAGGAGAAGTTCACAGGAAAAAAAAAAAAAAAAAAACAAACCAAACCCAACTTTACAAATTATATAATGGGGTGTTCATTTAATTCAAATTTTAGACCACAAGATCTTGAGTCCAGGACATGACACATGGATTTTACTGCAGACATAAAAATATAAAATAAAAAACAGGTAGCAAGCATGAAAACATCAGCACAGTTTAAAATAATAATCTGTTACTGAGGGGAAAACTCAGAGACCCTGTTGGAGAACAAGAAGTGCAGCACACAGCACCAACAAGAGGGTTAATAACAAGGCACAAGGACGGATATAAAGTGCAATTTTAACCATCTCTTGACCACAGAGGAAGGTCTCCAAATTTCACCAACTGGGCATCAACTGCTGGACAAATCCTCTCTGACTCCTAAGAAGTAACATTTCAGACAAAGATTGGGCTCACCAAACCATATAGTTTATTTTCTTCCTTCACCAATCGTCAAATGTTTTTCACTGCTGAAGTTCTCAGGGGAGCAATGGCTGTAGGATCAAGTCTAAGAGGTGCAGCAGATGTCAACCTGCCCAGGCACCCAGGAACAGCGAGCACTGAGGTGTGTCCTAAAGCTCCAGCTCAGCACATTCCCCCTTCATTTTCACAGTCCCAAACTAGGAAACCTGAAATAAATTCAAGCCTGGAATTCCAGGCCATAAACTGCCTTTAGAGCAAACCTTTTTGTTAGAGAATTGATTCTGACTTTTGTAAGATCATAAACCTCAAAGATCTTTGGTAAACTAATATAAGAAAACATTAGGACAGAAGATCAATGGTTTCTCAATAAACTTATGATGGACATGGAATGAAAAACTTATTTCTCTGATCTTCCAGAGACATATTAGTGTTAGTAAGAGGAACACTATGGGACTGGAAATTAATTTCATCATCCTGGGTATACTGAGCTAAATGAAAGAGGAAAAGGATATTGAAAGAAGTAACATGAGAGAGCAAGGGCTCAAAGCAAAGCAAAGCAAGGAAGAAAATCAAAAAGTATGTACATCCTAAGGCAGGAGAGCTGCCCACTCTGCACCAAGTGTGCCTGTCATGGTCAGTCAGTGTGACGGAGGAGAAACAAAACACAAAGGCCCCTTCTGCTCAAGGGTCTGGCTTACAACAGATTGGGAGACAGCACCTCCTCAGATCATCACACTTCATTAAAGGCTTTCCATCAAAATGGAACAAGGAAAAATCATGGCTAATCCAGGGAGAAAGGGGGGAAAAACCCCAAAGCCCCATCAGAAATAGCGTCATTCTAAGTGGTGACTTGTCTTTTGATCAGGAACAGACACTTATGAAAACACTGGATGGATACATCAGGTTCCAAAACACAAAATAAATCCCTATCCCAGGTGGACTGCGCCAATTTCTTATCAACACCTCAATGTTCCCTCACTCTGTAGATTCTGTCATGCCCAAGGAGAACCACAGGGTATTAAAATAATTAACCAGCCCTACTTTGCTTCATGTCCTACATTAAAGTAGAGCACTCCTCTTATAAGATTTATTTTCTAGCCTCAGCTTAAAGAACAGTGTAACACAGTGGCATTTAGTGATAATAAAGCACAGAAGAAAAGGCTGGGAGCAAGTGCATCTTTTACTGGCTCCTCATCTGCAAAGAGGGGAAGCAAAAAGCAAACAGCCCTTGGCAGAGAACACTGGAGATTTTGATATAAATCTTGGTAACGATGAGCAAAATAGATATCCCAAGGTCTATTTTTCCTAACAGGAGGTCCATGGGATAGAAATTGGTATGCCAAGGTACTACCCTGCTGATTACACCACAGGGATAAGCCACTGCTGCTGTGGAAGTTCATCAGCCACAAATATGGAACCACTAACACTGAAAAAACAGTGACTTCGGGGAAACCAAAAACAAATCTTCTAACCCACTGGGGTAATTACAAAAAAAAAAACCCCAAAGGAACAGAAGCTGGTTATTGGTCTTATATTCATTTTATATATAGTATGTTTTATTTTGCTTCAGTAATAGAACTGTTCTTAACTGATGAGCTTTACTTTGGCCCCATTCTCCTCCCCACCAGGGCAGTGGGGGAGTGAACGAGCTGGTAAAACCACCACAGCCATACCAACTCCAGCAAAATGAAACTTCCAGTTTAGTGAGGTACAACTTCACTGACTCTGGTCATCCTGAGGTTCTTGGCATCTCTATACCAGTAAAGGAGAGAAGAAGGTATTACTTCCTTCCCTCCCTCTGCCCAGCGCAGTCCTCCTTCCTCCAGAGCACTCAGAGCAGTTCTGTGATAGCTCCAAGGACCTTCTGTTTGCAATTTCTGCACTTTCAGCATCATATGTGACTGTGCTTTGCTAATGGAATGGATTAGATGATTGATCAGAGATGATGGTTCAGGGAGATGCTCACACAACAAGGCAATCCAAGAGACTCCCAACCAAGAGCTTGCTGATTCACTGCCAAGCACTGATCAGAATAAAAGGAACTACTACAACCACGCTTACTTTTAAGTCTCTTGGCAAAGATTCCTGATACAAACATCAGTCTTACCACAACACCACATCAGAGGATATTAATGCTAACAAGAGCAGACCCACTATCTGATACTTCTTCAGAAAGACTGACACCAACAGGACAACGTCTGTCCTACTGTAAAACGTCACATATCACTGCCCTGCCCTAATGAAGCCATAAAACCATGACTGGAGAGAGCACACGACACTTCCCCACCCCTGCAAGAAGAACTGCAAATCAGAGGAGTGTGTTGTGCAAAGGCTGTGGGAGGAGGGAGGATCATTGCTCCAGAGCGGGAAGGCTGGAATGTAGAGCAACGTTCTTGAAGCTCCATGGAGAAACAGGAAAGCCTGTTGTGACCCTCCACACAGCCTGGTCCACACTCAGTACTGAACTCTGGTTTTAGGACAGTAGTCACTGCTACAGACACCCATGGTGCTTCGTCTCAAGATTTAGGGAGGTCAGCACCAGCCCATGTCCATTCTCGGGTCATTATCACACCACACAGTTCAGGTACTGCGCTGGAGAATCACATGAGGATGAGTTTGGGGAAACAACTGGCAGCTCTGAAGAGTTCACTGTAACAGCTCAGTACAAAATCGATTGACTTGCCAACTACACAGCAAATGGAGACTTTGCCTTCAGTAACAGTGAAGATGTAAAATTGTCTACCACTAACCTGTCAGAAAAGAACCTTTCCAGGGTTGTAGTGAGAGAAATGCCTCAACAAACACTAATCCTGCAAGTACATATTTGCAGGTTGAGCTATAAAGCCCAGTGAAGAATGTTCTTGACATAGTTTAGACTTAATTTGTTCTCCCTTTGGATTTGTTCCATACTGACACTCAATGGAAACAGCTCCTAAGGGAACACTGACTGACTTAGTATGTGTGACAGACTGCAAAGTGCTTTCTTAGGCTGTCCTTCCTCAGGATTTTCTTAGGAACACACGTGTTGCCAAATGCATTTAGGGAGAAATCCCACTTGCCAAGACTTCTGACACTTTGAGATCTCTCTGAGTTCTGAGATTACAGACTTGTGAACCCTGTTTCTGGGTGAGAAAATTCACTGCTAAGGTACATTTCTCCCATGGCCTAAAGATTTTTTTTAATTCACTTTAACATGGGTGGAACTCCAAAGGTAATTGAAGATTGCAAGTACAGTAATAAATAAAGTTAATATGTAGCTGCAACTGACAGAGGAATATATTTGTTATGTAACTTTATATGATAAAAAGGATGGGGTTTTTCTTACAAAACTATCTCCACCAATCTCTATTAACAGAACAGTCATTTCTCACTTGAAAGCTATTCTGATAAATCTTGGCCTTACTCTTCACATAACAACAACAGCACGGCAGCAAAGCCAACACCCCAAGGATTAGAGATGAATAGTTACATTTATGAAAACCTATTCTGGGAGACTTGGCTGCATTTCAACCATGTTCATCTCCCTCCTGACGGTGAATAAACTGGCCAGGTCAGAAATAGTTTGACTGATTTTACTTGGCTCACTAATCATTTCCAGAAGAAAACAGAAGACAAAACAGAAGACAAAACAGTGTTTACCAACGGTGTTAATTTGCAATCAGAAGTGTTAAACTTCATGGTAATTTTTGGAAATGCATGACAGCCAAATACACAGGTAGACTTAACATGCCTGACCACAAACATACCTCTCATTCCCAAAACTGCTCCAGGACAGAAACTTTCTCGCTATAGCACAACTCTTCTGCCTTTATGCGCCAACACCAGTCACTCAACAATGTTAAAAATTAAAATGACATATTTTAAACTGTATTTCAGGATCTGTACATGGTGGTAGTGTTCTACAAGGCAATATTAGAAACTTACATTTGTAGAAAAAGACATCTAAGTGCTGCTTTTAAGTCACCAAAACAAAATGAGAAACTTCCAGAAAACGACATGGCTGGCAAATTTCATCTTAATGTTGGTATCTCTTTGTCTGACCAAGCAATACCAAACTCAGCAACCTCCATACAGGTGAGATGTGCCTTTAACCAACCCATGAAGTACCTTCTGTGTGCAATGGGAGCAAGTAACAGAACTTCTGGAATGCCACAGAGTGATCCTGCCCTGAATATCCACAGCAAGCATCTGGTGACACATCAGTAAGTCCTCTCTGTCAACACCATGACACGCAACGGCTTCTTGCAGAGACGATGAAGATTATCAGGGTTCTCCACGTTGTGAGTTTGCTATTGATCAGGTCATTAGGCTGCTATAAATAGAGGTGCCTAAAACATCCTAACAAAACTGTCATAACCTAAAGCTCTCGCCACCTACCACCACGCTACAGCACGGCCAGAGAACTAAACATCAGTAAGTGCAAGCTGGGTACTCCGGGTTGGATTACACTGACTGCTGAAAGATTCTCTCCCAGATGAATAGTCCCTTTCTCCCGGAGTTATGGAGAAATCGATAGTCTGCACGTGCTGCTCTTACCCGCAGGTAGGAAAACCACCTGTGCCTTAGAGAGGAGGGAGAGACACGAGGAGCAGATCAGAACAAAAACTGCACTTTTTTTTAATATACTTGTGCACTAAGTTGTGTACTTATGGCTGGTAAAGTGACTGTGCAGCTAAATCACCTCAACATCTGACTCACAGCACTCGGTTGAAGAGTTCAGGGATCTTCTCCTACGGACAGCAGTAACTCGAGCGGAATTTTCCTAAACCACCATCAGACTGCGGAAAACCGTTTTCACTGACTACACACGGCTCACCTCACAATGGGAGAAAAAAAAAAAAAAAAAGAAAAAGGAAGGAAAAAAACACACACACACCACCAAGCCAGACTTGAAGGTTTTTACATCGCTTTCGCCCAGCGACCGGCCGTGCTGCAGTGCCCTACCTGGCGCCGCAGGTGCTCCGTTACCCGGCCCGCCCCACACCGAGCCCCGCGGGGTCGCTCCCCCACGCCGCGGGGTGTGGACCCGGCTCTCCCCAGCGGGTCGTGCCCAGCCAGCCCGGCGTCGCCCCCCGGTGCGGGCGGCGGATCCCGAGCTGGAGCCGCTCCCCGCAGGCACCGGCGGTAACAAAGCCCCGGCTCAGCCCGCGCCGGGAAGCGTCGGCGGGACCCGCAGCCCACGAGCCCCGCGGGGAGCAGCGGCAGCCCCGCGGCTCCGTCCCCCGCGCCGCGCCGGGGTCCGGCTGCGGGGAGCCCGGCCGTACCTGGCTGCTGCTCTCGGCCGGCAGGTTCCTCAGCAGGATCTTGCGGCGGTTGCTGAGCTCGCGGCGGGTGCTCTCCAGCCGCCTCGCCACCTCCTCGGGGCTCAGCGGCGGCGGCTCCGCGGGCAGCCCCGCGCCGCGCTCGGCTCCCGCCGCCATCTTGCAGCGAGCGGGGGGAGCGCGGGGCCGGAGCCGCCCTCGCCCTGCCCCGCCCGGGGAGCCTCAGAGAGTCCCCGCCGCCCACCCGGCAGGGCCGGCCCGACCCCCGCCCGGGGCCGCGGGGCCCCCTGAGGAGGGAGGGCCGCGGGGCAGCGGGGGGAGAGTGGAGGCGCGCTCGGCGCTGCCCGTAACGGAGCTCCCGGGGGTGTATGCGGATAAACGGGAATTTCACAGAATCACAGGATGCGCCAGGTTGAAAGTGACCACAGTGGGTCGTCTGGTCCCACCTCCCTGCTCCAGCAGGGTGATCCCAGAGCACATGGCACAGGACTGTGGCCAGAGGGTTCTGGAATATCTCCAGTGAGGGAGACTCCACACCCTCTCTGGACAATCTGTTCAGTGCTCACTCACTGCACAGCAAAGAAGTTCTTCCTCATGTCCAGGTGGAACTTCCTGGGTATCAGTTTCTGCTCCTCGTCCTGTTGCTGGGCATCACCCAGCAGAGCTTGGTCCATCTTCTGACACCTTCCTTTAGATATTTATACACATTAACGAGGTCCCCTCTCAGTGTCTCCTCTCGAGGCTGAACAGCCCCAGCTCCCTCAGCCTTTTCTCATCACAGACATGCTCCAGTGCCTTCATCTCTGTAGTCTCCACTGCATCTGCTCCAGGAGCTGCAAGTCCCCTCTTGTCCTGAGGAGCCCAGACCTGGACACTGCACTCCAGATGTGCCTGACAGGGCTGAGCAGAGGGGCAGGATCCCTGATCTTACCTGCTGGCAATGCTCTGCCTAATGCTCTCCAGGATTCTGTTGGCCTCCTTGGCCCCCAGGACACACTGCTGGCTCAGGGACAACTGATTGTCCACCAGGACCTCTTCTCTTCATTCCATCCCCACAGCAACACATCTCCAGATGGATTTTAGGGAACAACTCGAGTGCTCTAAAGGAATGTTGGGGCTCTGTTGTGAGGGGAATTGCCCTAAGATCCATCCTGATGGAGGCCAAGGCCAGGGCACTGTCCCTCTCCCTCACTGAGGCTTCGCCTGGGTCACCTCACCCAGAAGGAATCATTCCCCAAATCCCCAGCACTGACACCTTCCTTAGGTACTGATCCACCTGAAAGACTGAAATACGGATTTGGAACAAAATTGAGCAGATCCTACAGAATCAGGTTGGAGAAGACCTCTGAGATCATCGAGTCCAACCTCTAATCCCAAATGAACCCAAGTGCTCCATCAGAGGTCAGGAGGCACAGTGGCCCAAGATGATCTTGCCCTAATTTTATTCTTCATCAGAAACATACCAAACTAATTAAAATCCATCAAAATGAGTTAACCAACACCTGGTGGCCCAAGTCGCCCTCGTGTGGCACAATCCCATGTCCTGGTGGCTGGGCAGGCACAGGGCTGTGACCTGTGATGAAAAGGAGCCCAGTGTCCCAAGAGAAGGGCAACATTTCTGGGAATCACTATAAAATTAGTTTTCCCATCTATCTCTGTAGAAACCTTTCAGTCTGTTAGTCAGCACTCCCTTTAAAAAATAAAATAAGTTGTTCTGTTGGAAAATCCATTTCTCCTTTAGCACAGTTACTCGCTTGTCATTTACAACACAGTAAATTTAGCTCTTAATGTTGTCATCATTACTATAAAGGAATAAAAAATAGTTTAAGAACTTGTATCCATGTTTAGACATGGGGCCGACCACAAAGAACAGACAAAAGAGAATCCAGACCTGAAAAATAATACGTCTTAAAAAGGAAATTGGAAAAAACCGTGGCGTTAAATTGAGTGTATGTGACTAAGTTCTTATCAAGAAAATCTAATTCCGAAGGGAAATTCTACATTAGGTTTAAAGTGCCATTTCAAAGACATGATTATCAGTTGCAGATTAAAAAACTCCACCAAATAAGTGTTTTTTAGAAATTGCTTTAGCCCAAACCAAAGCAAGTTAAGATTACAAAGTATCTTAGACCTTCATTACTTCTAAAATTAATTTAAAACTATTGAGCAAACAATAATCAAAGTACTTTTTGGTGTATTATTAAAAAAATTGTCAGCTGAGAAGCTTCTGTTCAAGGGATTCCTTTTCCCTGATTTTTTTTTTTAACAGGTTATGTCCCTCCTCCTTCAATATTTCCATTCTTTTTAGTGACTTTTTGAAAATCAGAGGTGTCCTGAACAATATCGGCTTCACCTTCATAATTAAACCAAAACTGGGAAAAGTTATTATCACAAATTATTAGTGTGAGATCTGATATAAAGATAATTTTGTATTTTTAGGAAACCAAGATTTTTATAGGTCACCATTCTTTAAGAAATGTGACTGAAAAATATGTATATACCTGCTATTTTTAAAAATTTCAGGTGAAGATTTGCATTTTAAAACCATGAAATACCTGCTAGTAACTATACAGACTGATTTTCAGGTCAAGTGATGAAATTGAAGTAGAGATGCTCTAAACTGTCTCCTGAAAACCTGTCTGAAGCTTATCATCAACTATGTGATGTAAATTATTCTGGGACCAGTGAAAAAGGAATACTACTTTTCTAGGAATGCTGAAACATGTAACTCTCTCTTCAAAAATATAAATCAGGTTAAGCTATTCCAATGCAAATCATGGATCTACTCAAACATCATCAAATTTAGTGACCCTAATGAAGGAATTAAAGCAGAATAATTAATTCTACCATTAATTTTTCCAGTTTGAAGGTGGACACTGCTTCACTTATACACCAATGATCATTAATCCCACCCACAGCAATTACCCTCTCAAAAGCTGCCTTTTTCGGTCTTTTTTTTTATGGGTTGCAGGTCCTAAATGAAAGTCAGCAAAGGTAAAGTGTGTTGCTAAAAATAATAGTTCAGAAATTAATAGTTGGATATTAATGGCAAAAGCAAAACTCCTGCAATATGAATTGTAAATAGTTCCAGAGAAACTACAGAAAATAGGAATATACTCAGAGAAATGTAATTTTTTCTTGCTGTAGATATTTAAAAGATTGCATATTTGATAGGTCAAAGTGTTCATTTGTTTCACCTCCTGATGTTCATGTTACATTCTGCTGACAGGTGGTTGACATTCCCCAGGTCAATTAAGGAATTGCCTCCACTAAAAGGCAGCTACAAAGTGGTGTGTGAAGTGAGCAGGAAATATCCAGGATATTCCCACTGTCCATGGAGGTAACTCATGAAGATGGAGAAGGAGATGAGCCACCACCACCTCCTGGAACACCAAATCAGGCACCAGTACCCAACTGACCTGACGAAATATTCATTCCCTCTTGAACCCAAATGTCATCCCCATTTTGACCTGCACTCCCCTCAGTCAGGTACCTGGAGGATTAAACTATAATTTTAAATATAGGAACAACCAAAATTAGGAACCCATAAAGTAAAATACTTTTTAACAGTACAATTAAACTGTGTAAGGTTAAAGAGTCCTTGCTAACCCATGCTGTGAGAACTGACACAGGTTAGGGAACCTCTCACACACCCACGTGCTGCTGCACCTGCAGGAGTGGGAAACACCTTCAGGAAAGACGCTGAGATGGGGGGACTCAGGATGACGTGCAGGTCTCCAAAAAAAAAAAGAGGTGTACCTGGGGAGAGCCAAAGCAAAAAAGCACTATTAAAAAAATAGCAGAACAGTCCAGTGCTCTGCAAGTGTAACTTTAGTTGTGCTACTGACCTAATGCTGTTACACAGATAATCCACTTTGCAGTAATTTATTTTAATTCACTAAATTCTTTGTTAATTAAGAGTAACAGACCCATCCACAGCAGTTGCTCTTGCAGCTCTTGTAAGCTGATGCTAATTTCTTTTTGCTTCTGCAGCCTTGGATTCGTAAAAGCCATATATATATATATAAATACAGACATATATATACCTATAGATATAAACATAAATTTTTATGGAATGAGTGTGTTAGAGTTGTGTCACAAATATTCTTTTGGAATTTAAGATGCAGTCAGGCATCATTGTCCACGCTGGTCTAGTGCAAGATATCCCTGCCCATGGCAGGGGGTGGAACAAGATGAGCTTTAAGGTCCCTCCCAACCCAAACCAGTGTGGTATTCTACAATTCTGTCTTCAAAAGTACAAACAAGTTCAGATCTGGACAGATAAAGTAAAAGCCAAAAATTGAGAACATCTGCTGGATCTAAGACCTGCCTGATGTTCCCAGGTATTTGAGATGCAGGGAATGTATCTGTGAGCTCTTTAGGTGATTGCTTAGATGAAAGACAAACAATTTTCTATAACCTGAAACCACATGGATTGGTGTTTCCTGAAGTGAGGGTGTGGAATCTATCAGTTACTGCATATTCCATAAAAATCATGGATTACCAGCACCACTTCATGTCAGCAAAACATAAACAATCCCATTCTCTTTATACTGTGCCCACTGTTTCCTGCTCCAGCTGCTCCTTTTGTTTCATTAAGACGCTAAAATTTTGAACCCAACAGATGTAGATTCAGTTGTCAACACCACTAATTAGTTGGGTGATGATCCTCCAGATGCTCAATCATCTCACAAATGCATATCCAACATACACCAGAGGTGCCAAAACAAGTTCTTTTGCCCATTTTCCCAACAAATTTCCATACATTTGGCATCTCTGTGCACCATTCCATAGTGCAGTAACATGCCCAAACATGGGATGCTTCTTTCCTCTGTACAGGCACAAAAGCACTTCAAGTGTCTGTGCCCAGAGCCAAACATTTTCTTTTTAAGTGGAACCTGATGGCTTTTAATTCGCTGTAACTCTGCTCCTAAGTGTTAGGAATGATGGATTATCTCAGGAACAGCCTGGTTGGGAACTTCTCCTCAGGTTCCATCCTGTCACTCAGCGGTCTGTGAGTAAATAATAAAGAGCTGGAGGAGGTAAGAGCTATAACTTGCAAAGTGAGTAACTATTCCAAGGAAATCATTACACTGGGCCGGACTGTAATGGGCTATTTTGGGACTCGTGGTCTTTGCAGTAGAATTTATGACCTTTGTTGC